CTCTGCTTCCAACCCCAGCTTCCTGCTGCACAGCCTGGGAGGCACACACTGGGCCCCGCGCCACCCACATAGGAGATCCTGATTGAGTTCCAGTCTCCCAGCTTTGGCCCGGTCCAGTTCTGGCTGTTGTGGGCATCTGGGGCTTGAACCAGGGGATGGAAGACCTCTGTCTGTCTGACTCTCTGCCTTGGAAATTTTTTTTAAAAAAGCAAAGAAAATGGTATCTGGTTTCTCAGAGACGCTGGGAACTCTGGAGCTGGAGTTTTGCAGCATTTCCTGTTGGCGTTACCCGCATTGAACCGTCTCGGAACGCCAGCCCCGAGCGCCCGCCCGCCTGCCGTGTGAGTGCTGGAGGTGCCTTGTGGATTTGCAGCCGTCAGGGTACCCAGATGACCCTGTCTGGGAGCCGCCGCTGTGTGCTGACGCCACTGCGCAGTCGCACAGTTCTGCCCTTTTTTTAAAAAAATTAATTTCGGCATTTGCTTCCACGACATGCTCCCATGGTCCTCAGTCACATATTGAGAGCAAACTCTCATGGAAGCCCAGTTTCCATCCTTATCTCCCACTCCAGTCCCTCCTCCCACGTGGCACTGGCTGAGTTTCTGCTGCGTATCTGTTTTTAATATGAAGGGGCTTTAAGCAGTTCATGGAAAACACGTTATTACCAAAACACTGCTTGGATTTCAAAACTGGGCACCCAAATACAATTTTTTTTTTTTTTTTTTTGCTTATTTGTTTGAAGTCAGAGTTAGAGAGAGAGAGAGAGATGTTCCGAGGGAGAGAGAATGTTCCATCTGTCACAAACTCCCTCCTCGTTGCTATCAAAGAGCCAGCTGGGTCTGGGCACCTTTGCCGCCGCCATAGCTAAGGTAAGATGGCGCTGTGCCTCCTAAAATGGCCTTGAAGTTGTGAGTTACTAGTTCTTGGGTGAGAAAACCGTCTTACCTTGCAGCTGTGATTTGCTAACTCCTAAGATGACAGTGTGCACCCCGAAACTGCCTGGCTAATTTAGGGTGTAAAAGTAGAAGTAGACAAAGGATCGGGGCTTGACTCCTGAGACGCCAGTCTAGTCAAGCCCGCATGCGTAAATAAACTGTGTCCTTCCCTCAAAAGTCTCTAGTGCTACCTGGTTCCTTGGGAGTGCTGTCTATAACACATCCGCCGGTTCACTTCCCAAATGGCCACAACGGCCCGGGGCTGGGCCAGGCCAAAGCCAGGAGCCAGGAACTCCACCCAGCTCTCCCAGGTGGGTGGCAGGGCCCCAGTTCTCAGGCCATCTGCTGCTGCTTCCCCAGGTGCATTAGCAGAGAGCTGGATCAGAAGAGGAGCAGCCGGGACATGAACCTGCACCTGTATGGGATGCTCGCGCCGCAGGCAGAGGCTTAGCCAACTATACCATAGCACCCTCTCTGGTAGGAGCTGTTAGTTATTTATTTGAAAGGCAGAGTGACTGTGACAGAGAGACACAGAGAGCTAGCAAGAGAGACTTTCCCTCTGCTGGTTCACTCCCCAAACGCCCACAACAGTGGGGATTGGGCCAGGCTCAGGCCAGGGGCCAGAACTCTACCTGCGTCTCCCACATGGGTGGCAGGGACCCAGGGAACTTGGGCCATCTTCTGCTGCTTTCCCAGGTGCATCAGCAGGGAGCTGGACCAAAAGCGGAGCAGCCAGGACTCAAACCTGCACGCCAACATGGGATGCCTGTGCCCTGCCCCAGGGGGAAGAACTTGAAGATGCCAGGCCTAGAGGAAGGCGACGAGGTCACAGGGCTCCCCTCACAAACGGTCAGGCTGTCCTCAACCAAGCCCACTGTACCCACTGTGGTCCTTCCACTTGGTGACACAGTGTCACAACACAGCCAGGACGCCAGTGCCGTGCAGCTGGGACCTTCCAGCTGCCACAATTGTGTGCAAAATTAACCCTCTGCTTTCACAGCCCCACCCAGACACCCTGTCACCCCGGACAGCTCGGAGCACCCCAGGGAGCTCCCAGATGCCTCTCTGTGTTTCTCTGCCACGCGCCTGGTCCTCGTCCTCTTGCGGGTGACAGGGGCAGGACTGTAGCCAGGTGAAGGCACAGCTCCCGTCTTCCCATCCCCCAGCTCAGCTTCTCTCCACAGGAAGGAGCCCTGGCCCTGGGCTGATCCTTTGACATTTAACACATCATTACCCCGCCTTAGTTGTCTCAGTTCTCAATGCTACTTGCTGGTCTCTCTATAACTGGGGGTGTTTTCCT